CCAACAGTGCATGACAGAGACGTGACTGATCGCCCGGGCGGCTAGCGAGCCGATCTTTTGGTGAAGAATATAAATGAAAAGAGACGTGACCAATCGCCCAAGCGGCTAACAAGCCGATCAGTGGCGAAGAGGATAAAAGTAAAAGTAATGCACCTAATGTAACCTAAAAAAATAAAATAAAATAACCTAACCGCTTGATTAAATTAAAACACAAAAAGAACATCCCCAAAATACCACCAAAATTGTATTATATTAAGAACACCTTAACCAGAGAACTTTACTTGACACTACTAATTGCTTCATTCACCCAGACAAAAATTTAATTCACCAATTTACAAAACACAAAGGAGAAAAATTTAAATTCATAAGTATTGGGTGAAATAATAGGTTAAGAAAATTAACATCCACCTGTGATAAATGATTAAGAACTAAGAGTTTTCAGCTTTTAAACCCATATGCCATGACCCATTTTCACTTATAAGATTTTAGATTAAGTTAAAGTTCATAATTACTGAATATCAAAAGTGAATCTTAGAAGTTAGGTTAGGTTAAGTTTTATTAGTAATAAACCATATATGAAGACAGAATTTTAGTAACTAGGTTAGGATAGGGTGGTTAGACTAAGTAGCATTAAATTAATTAAAATCCAAATGCTAAAGCAATACAGTATTTTGTTAGTGAGTGAAAGTTCATCATCCTTATGTCATGACTAAGACAGAAGTTAGGTCAGGATTTATTACTCACAATTCCTACACCATGACTAATGTTAGGCAGGATTTTTTAAAGTTAAAATCCATATAAAAGAAGGATTTCAGAGTAAGGTAAGATTTTCCAAAGTTAAAAGTCATATAAGGAGTAGATATTATTAGTTACAATCTACATACAGTACTGTACTAAAGTAGCTAGACCAAGAGTTTGGTGGGATTAATTAGTTAAAATCTATGTATAATGGCTAGATCAGGGGTTCTTAACCTAGGGGTAAATTTACCACCAAGGGGTAAAAAAAAAAAAAAAAAAAAACCCTCATAGATGGAGGCAAAGAAAACCCACCCGAGAACTGATGAGGGCAAATTATAGGTAACATCTCCTCAAATAAATAAACAACTGATTGAGAAGCAGCAACCATGATACACCAGTTTTGAGTGTGTGTCCTGTAATACTAATTGACACGTGTAATAATGATCTCACATTCTTGAAAAATTTGTAAAATATTGTTTCTTTGATTACTACAGTATATTAATGTGCAGCTCTAGAATAAGAAATACTGTAATGTGTTTTTCTTTTCTGTTTCTCTTCCCTCCCTAATTTGCACTGTCCAGCCTATTTCCTTTAAGCCAATGTTAGGTTCATTTATGGGGAGAATTATGCAACTTTGTAAATTTCTAAAAACATTCCTCAGAGTAGCAAAGCTTTTTAGAAATACAGTACTAAAATCCATTAGTTGAACCTATTCTTCCAAGGCAACATGTTTACATTCTAATCACCTCTAATGACTAGTTATGATATAAGCTTCTCTGTAAGAATAGACAAGTGATATATGAACTTTAATATATTATAACAGACATTATTATAACTAGTATCAGAGAGTTGTTTCTGTTAACTTGAAGAATACATTAAATTACTGTACAGTAGTACTGTATTTCATGAATCAGCTACAACATCTGGTAACTCTAACACCCTTACAATATAACAGTAAAGCTTTGTCTCTTTATAGATCACTATAAAGTCAATTTTGTTCAATATATAGTCATAATTGAATAAAATTGCCCTAACCTTTTAAAAACATCAATTAATGAATGGACACCCTGTACTAATGCTAGACAATAAAGTTCATAGCAAACTACAATATAACAAAAAACAGACCAACCACCCAAACAGATAGTAATCATGTAAGGGAAAAATGATAATTTAAAAAAAAAAAAAAATTAACAACAAACTAAATAAACATAGTTTTGATTTGATAACACTTGTTGATAGTCAATGTGATTTACTAGTACAGTACAGTATCTCAGGAAAGTATCTGTCCACACTGTGAAACTTTATGAGACCATGGATTGGGACATGCATTTATTTTGGTATATAGTTTAACATAAGTAATGCAATGTGTATTCATATTTCGGGGGAATTAATATGAAGTTCAGTTATCAAGTGTAGTAGGATGAGTATACCACAGAGCCAGCATACCAACCCACCCGGAACATCACAAGTTGCAGCATTTCAGAAATCATTGGACCCATCCTGGCAGATACATTTTTGAGATACTGTGCCTCCACTCCGTAAAACTACCAACAAAGTCTACAGACTTTAATAACAACAGTTACCATCAACTATCTTTTCACTGCATCTTATTTCTACCCAGTAGTCGCCCTATCCCAAAATACTAGTACAGTAATTCTAAACAATTTTAGTAGGATTTTCATTTTCAAAATTACAAATCTTAACAAGTAATATATAGCCTTCACCAATTACATCTACCATTTTATAAACTTTATACCCCTTAATCCTTAACTGAATTTCATATTTATATATTTAAACACAACTATCTATTTCTCATGTCAATTCCCAGAAAAATATATGAAGTGGCAAAATATTTTCTTTAGCAAACACCATCAGGCATGTTTGTATGGTTCACTCTGCTCTCTAAGTCAGGCACTGGTGACTGACTTCATACACTATAACAAACAGCAAGTGAATGGTTTATATATTTGAGAAAACTTATTCACATCAAAATAAAATTACAGTATTTAATTGCTCACTGGGTGTGTTGGGATAGTGCCTGAGGGCTGAGAAAAATAGCATGCATGTGGCGGAGTTACTTAAGCCAAAGCCCGTTTGTAATGTAGAGATTAAAAAAGGGGGGAACAAATTATTCCTTGGAAAATTATTATCAATTCATTAGTCAAGAGAGACAGGCATATGACATACTAATGCAGCCAATAAATATTTTATTTATATATTTATTAAGAAAAGATTAACTTTTCTGATTGGCTGTATTTACCAAGATCAGCATTTTTACATACACACACACACACACAAAGTTTATGTATTGCTGTATTATATTCTTGTACTGCAGTAAGAAAGGCCTTGATAAAATGAGAACAAATTATACTGTATGTACAATGCAATAGAAGGGATCTAGCTGCTTAGAAAAGCAAAGTTAAAGAAATTATACTGTACTAACGAGCCAAGAAACATACAGTAACTACCAAACATTATAAATCTATGAAGGACATAGCAGCAGAAAACAATCATATAAAATGGTAAACAAATGTGTACTTCAACACTAGTTTGGTGGAGTGAGGAAGACATTGAAAATATATCTGAATGAATCCACTGTTAACATTCCATCACAGATTAAACTCCCTTAAGACAGTATACTCCATGTGTTATTACCGATGCTCTTCCCATTGTCTAGTTAAGCTACCAGCATGTAACGTTAGATTGACGTAGAAGCAGACAACAGCAACATTCTTACTCCTATGACCCAAAAAATGAACTGCCAACAATGATAAAATCAGAATAATATTTTCTAAAACTCAAGAGATACAACTCTCCTTCGGAACAAAACATGTTGAAGTTAATAGGATCTTATATATCAGACTAGGATTCAGTGAATATGTAGACATGGGACTACTGTACTGTAGTATGAGCTTCAGACGTAACAAAGTTAATCACACACACAAAAATCAAATCATCACTTGTTCTATTTTATACTGTATACATTGTTACCTAAAGACTGAGTCAAATTCTCAGCTACATGCATAATAAATGTAAGATACAAACTACTGAGTATTCAAAATTTTCAGATTGGTATGCTGGTTTCAGCTCTTTCCACCGAGTACTGATTATCTATTTTAATATATAATCTTATCATTCTTACATTCCTTTTTATTCTATTTCTAGGCCTTTTACTCTTATTTCTAATTTCTTATTCTTATATGCTTAAATTATTTTCTTTTCTCAGTGTTCTCACCTAAAAAGTATCCATAGAATTACCTCCTGAACTATGAAAAACAGCCAGTGGAACTATTAAGAGCTGTTAATATTTTTTTCACCTTTACAGAGAATTATCCATCAATGTCTACAAGTACAGGTGTTGACTGTTACACGATTGATTGATAAATGATCGACCAGTTTTACGATAAAAAATTAACACCAACTACCCTCATGTGACGGCTAAGATTAGATTTACAATGGCTGCTGCCTCAATGCTTTTCCTGCCTTGTCACTGTTATGAAAAAGTGATGTGCAGTAACACAATATTCTGAGATATGATAATGTAATCTTGGAATGACATAACACATGCAACCCACTCAGAATGCGTGAGAGGCTCTGCCCATCCTCATTGGTTATTGATATCAATATATATACAATCGATCACCTTACGATGCCTTTTCAGTCCTTAACCCCATCGTATAATGGTCAACACCTGCAGTCCTAAAACTTGTCATCATACATACACTCTACACTGGTTCTTAGGCAGCTTTAACAGTTGTTTTCTCGATTGTTATTAGGATGGAAATTACAATAAACAATAAACAGTGTAAAGGGATTATAGCTAACAGAACTTATTTTCATACTGTGTACATCTCTATATTAAAAATTTGTCCAAAACATACGTTGTAATGTACAATAAAATTCTTAAATTCTTTTTATGACTGTATGTTGATATCTTATCAATTCTACATGAGGTCATCCTAAAGAAGAAAATAATTCAGTCTACAACACCATGGAGCTGATCATAAATTATATCCCTTTACAAACAACCTTAAATGAATTACAGTTCATTACTAATCATTTCCTTATTAATACACCATACCCAATTTATTCGTGAATAGTAAATACCTGGTAAGATGTGTATGAGATTCAACCTTGGTCTTAGTGACTGTACTGTGTTGTTCTGTTATGAGACAAGGAGATATGAAGTCTAATGGAACTCGTGTGATAGCGACCTTAACGGAAGAGGATAACTAAAACAGTTCTGTAATGATGCTACTAACTGTATTTCTTGAGGGTATGGGTTGGAGTGATTCTTTCTTGAGATTTTTCATTCTTAGAGCCATTAGGGTGAGTGGAGAGGAGAGGCGTGCGTTCGTGTGATACTTGCATGGCGGCGGCAAGAGATCCTTCCCCGGCAGATTCGTCTCCATCTTGTAGCTGCATTGACAAAAAACATAGCCAGGATCTCAGTAAGGGGGGGGGGGGGCACCAGTGGTGGAAATGGGTATTTGGACATATTCTAAGGTCAATATTAAGTATTTCATCAGATAGGATGAAGTACTTGCACAATAATAATAATAATAATAAAAAAAATTTAATTGTCTTTGTCTACATTTAGACAAATAGTACTTATATAAATTCTGGCTATTTACATACAGTATTGTGTTTATATACAACACACTACCCAGATTCACCAACACAGGAGCACAGATCCATATATCGTCATATCCTGTTAAGTTCTACATGGGAATTCATAGCTTTGAATCAGTATTTCCTGTCATGTTGGCAGATCACCTTCACACCCCAGTAAAACCGAGAGAGTAAGAGCATTTAACTCACCGGTGAGATAGCCAGACTAAGAATAGCCAGCACACCATCTAAACATGTGACTGACAGTTTTAACCTTGAGCCTACTATACTCTACATCATCTTGTGTTAGTTAATCCGTACATAAACCCAGCAGACCGTGACATTTTTTTTTATAATAAATAGAAAAAGATACTAAGTGTTTAGATTGCCCATGAACACTGAAGATAATACAAACATATCTTACTTGTTACTCCTAGTGTATCTAACAGGACATAATATCTGCAAGCAACAGAATCATGAGTGAAGCCACAGTGCAGTGACCAGCCATTACTCTAGTTCCAAGTATGACAGTGGTGAAGATTACATACTCAAACTTCACATAAAGTGTTCCTAGGTGGATAACCATTTTACTGTGAGTGGAACATCTTATTTACAGCTGTTTTTATTATAACAAATTTCTTTAAAATAAGGCATAATACAGTAAAGGGTATTACTTTTAGATTACATGCTGATATCTAAATAAACATTTTGAACAACCAAAATATCTTTTAGTAGAATAATGAAAATTATAAAGGAGCATAAATTGGTGGGATCACCGTACGAACCTTTAGTGAATCACCTATTACCAAAATTGTACAGTCACCGTACAAAATAAAATGCAAAATAGATAAACACAAACCTAGTAGCTGAGGGGTATACAAATTTTAATTTAAGGGGACCTGTTACTGATTTTCTCTTTGACTGATATATGTATGAATCACAACAGTTACATACAGGTATGTACATACACAATAAGGTCCCTCTTAATGAGTGATATGTGTTCATGAAAAAGTGTTCATTTGGTGAAATTTCATTTAACATAATCCATTTTCCATAAAAACTAAAAATACCTCACTCTTATTACCATTCTCTCTCTCATGTGCATATTTCACACTTCAAGTGGCTAACACAACTCACCTGATCATCTGCACTGTCATCTATATTGGTGGCGGTGTCTTCCAGCTGTTGTGAAGACTTTTTCCGCCACAGTTTCCGTATTACCACTCCGGGCTTTGGTATGGTGCTGTCAGAGTCCCAGCTGCGGTACACCACACAGTTGAAGACGGCTTGTAGTGGGTTCAGGATTGCCTTTAATAAGAGAGGTGTTGTTCTATTATTAGAAAATAATACAGCTTGTTGATGTTTTACGACTGCCTTTATAAAAGAGAGGACGTCCCCTAGTAGAGGATTGTTATCATACTATTAGACGTGACAACTTGTAAGTGGTTTAAGGTTACCTATACACAGACAATAGGATGCTCTCCAACTATGGCAGTTAATATTACAGAATTGTATAAGACAACGATAGTTCGTAGATGGTTCTGGCCAACCTTTACAGATGTCCTCCATCAATTAGTCACTATTATAAAACACACTAAAACAGTGAGCACATGGCCTTGGTACAATCTCTTGCCTACCACTCCCTCTTGGTGGGTGAGGTTATTACAAACTTGAATCCCAAACTGGCATGGTTAAAATATGGTAAAAATGACTGTATAAAATGACTAAGTGCTGTAAGAATTCCTATTACTCTACTGTACTTCCAACTTACCATTAGGTACCAAATGATTAGAACGAAGGTTTTGGGAAGATCATCCCACGTTGTCCATAACACAATACCATTTATAATGTTTGGTAACCAGCAGAGATAAAATACAACATTGATGAGTGAGAACTTCTTCAGCAGCCCGTCAACCACTCGTCGCTCTGACTGAGTATATCTGTTGATAAAAAAATAATAAATAAATGAGGAAAGATTTTTAAAACTTATTCCCGAATATGATGAAAAGTATACAAAATTCCTCCTCCCCACAAAAACCCAAATAAAACAATGATGTGAAAATTAACTTAACACGCATTACAGTACAGTATCTATACATTAAGACTATATTCCTCAAAATTTTCATATATAAAGTTTTTCTTATTAAATATCATTGTACTATACGGTAGTTTAATATGAAAATTTATACTGTACTGTACTGTATATGTAAGTGGTTATTGATTATACAAACAAGAGAGACAAGAGTAAAAAGGAAACATGGAAAACCCTGGGGGTACATGACCATCTTCATCCCAAAAGACTGGAGGAGAAAAAGTGGAATTCAAATAAAAAACAGAACACTATCAGACCTGTTTAACAGGAATTATTGCAAAATATATGTACAGTGCATGTTAAAATGGATTCTTTACAAAGACTTCTTACACATGCCAAGTTTTTTGTTCTCAATCTTTGGTTCCTAGTCACAGAACATTTTCCCCTATTCAATTAGTTTCTCTCTCTTATGTACAAAGCCATCTTATCAGTCTACCTACTTCAGATCTATGGTAGTTCCTACTATTCAACAGGATGGCTAATGTTTACACTTCCTCTTGTTGTTGTCATTTTATCATTCTAACAGATACCTCTCACCAAAAACACAAATTTATAAACTAACCTGCCTCTTGCCGACATAATTTGCTTTTCCACTCTGGAAAAAGCTAAGCAATATAACACTGGGTTGCCAATCATAACAACCACAATGGGGATGAATGAGCTGAGGTAGTTGGGAAGGAACCGAATATATGGGTTGACGGCCTTACTGTGACAGCTGGAAAAAGAAAACAAATTAATAGACAGTGTTTAATTATAATAAAGACATGTAAATAATGATGCACAAAAAAATTATTCCCAGCCACTCATGGGCACCATCATCATTATCATCATCACCATCTCAAAACAATACAGCAAGTCATATGATGGCAAGACAAAATCACTTCAGATTTAAAGACAATCGGGTATGGTAATTCATAACCAGAGATATTTCTTGGAAATATAATAATTAAACTATTGTCTGGCTATATTTCTATAGAATGTTAAATGTGTACAGTTGGGGACTTTTCTAACTGTGACAGTCAGCGTTGTCGGGACACCCTTTCCGTGAGGTATGAACCCCGAGTGTATCAATCAACTCGTGAATATGAAGCATTCATAAGTGAAGGGGAGAGGCGGTCCGGGGGATCACGGGGGTCAGTGTAGGAGTGGGTTATGGGGGTTAAAGAGGGTGTTTTGGGGCTAGAGGGATGGGAGAGGTTTAAGAAGTTACTTGTGCAGCTACAACATTGTTTGTATTACAGCAAGACTATAAATATGCAGGGCAAAACACAAATTATGCTTAGAATGTTTTACTGCACATTAAGATGGTATACCCAGCTTGTGCTACATACACACAGGACGGTAAATACAGATGTACAGTAGCTACAAATGACAAACAAAAGAACAGAGGATAAAGCCTGATAACTGAGTGGTGAACAGCATAACAAAAATGGGTGGCAGCATAGATGCATATGCAGAAATATCTAGACATTTCTGTTTTGAGATTCTACAGAAATTACCAAGATAAATATGACAAATATGGGACACAGTCTCTGATAATTTCATAGGTTGAGGAAACTTACTTTAGGTCAGGAAGATAAAGGATGAGAAGGCCAGTTAGACACAAGACAACAGGCACAATCCAAGACACAAGGTGATAGACACGATGACTTATCCGTTTGTCCTGCATTACTAACTTAACGTCGAGTGCGTACAAGAAGGTCCAACAGTAAGTGGCAGTGTAGAAGTAATGAATCATTCCCTGGAGGAAACAGTGCCATGAGGAATTACAACTACTTTCTCAAGACTTATAATAAACATGCTACATTCCTTTACTAAATTATCATAAACCAAAAATTTCAGATACTGTAATACTGTATCCTTAAGAAATAAAATAAAGTGAAGACTAGAATTATTTGTATCTTTTTTCAATATAAATCTCTTCAGTATGTGTGAGTGGCCAGTGCACATAGCCGGGTGTAGAATTGACACAATGTTATGATGCAAGGTGTAAATGCAAGACCATACCTGTACAGTATATCTATTAGGTCTGAGGAACCATGAGAAATGTCTACAAATTCAATATTACATCAATTCAATATTACATCAAGTGGATCACTGACTGAAGAAATTATATGAGATCACTGGTGTTATGAATGAATGAACAGATAAATAACCCATCAATCCAAGTGTACAATGCCTCCCACTAAAATATTGGAGGTATAAAAAGATTGTAATGTGGTGCAGATATTTTTTTAAATAAATTGCAACACTACTGTATATTGTACTCTATTTGTTAAGAGTTCAACTTAACCAATTACAGGTATCAGCCCCACACAAAATAGAGTGAAGCAATCTGTTGTTTTTTCTGAAACGTAACTTAAGATCTTTTTAATCCAATAACAAATGTTGTAGAATAACATAAACAACTGCTAAAACTTACGGAGGTTATAATACATACGAACTGGCCAGTCAGGCCATCATCTGGCTTTGAACCAAATGTGTTATCAGCAAGCCAAGAAGCTGAGCGGATGAGGATGCCTGAAAGAGAAAACAATGAAGAGTCGTGTAATAATGTCCACATAAACACTAATTCCTCTTTCTTATTAAATATATAATCATGGGTACTTGATCCTTATACTTTCTATACATTTATATTTAATAATAACCTTTCTCATACCAGTGCCTCTCATCCACAATTTATTTAATTAATAACCTTTTATTTAATGCTTGGTCTTCTCAAACAAATTTATTTTATTCATATTCCCCCAAAACATTTCCTCCACACTAAAACTACATTTGTTTTCAGTGACTCTCCCTTCCTTCTCTCATCAACAACCTCCTTCCAAACACTTAATGCCACCATAATACTGTATCATTATCACTGGGATCTGATAGACACTCTTTGTGGTCTCTGTAATCCTTTTTGCACTACCACTCACAGGATGAGTATGGGGGTGCACAATAAACTAGCTGCTGTCTGTGGCAAAATTCAAAAACTCAAATTTTTTCTCAACTGTATGACACAACAGGGGACCAAAAGGTTTAATATACATATCACTATACCTAAGGATGCCATCAGATCTGCTAAAGCCAGCCACCTGATGATGAGGCGACCTCTTGTCTTGTAGAATCCACGACCTGCACTAGAATTTCTAGAGACACTTGTCCGTGGAAGCACCTGTGAGAAGCAACGAACAGTAAATATCTTCCACATATTTTATGGCGTTTTATAGTATGTTTATTTAATTTATAGGGTCAACTTGTTTCTTTTTGAACCTCATGCTGGGGTTCACATGTGCCTGAAATATGGCCAGGTATTCCTTGAGATACAAAAGCTCAACTTCTAGAAGTTTGCAGTAACGGAGGAAAAATTAATGTTAACGGAAAATCTGTTTTTAGGTTCTGGAGTTATAAAAGTGGGGAAAATATATAAATCTTGTCCAATTCCAATATCTCATGAAACACAAAATAAAATATATAATACTGTAATGTAATATACAGTACATATAGAAAGGCTGTAAATTGTAAACTAATATGACATAGAATATTAAAATATCAACCTTGACTGGCAGGGAAGATACAATAAGGGTGACACTGCACTTAGTGCACTATCACCTTAAGTACTGTACTGCCATAGGACTTTAAGTACAGTATGACACCTCTTTTAGGTGTCACTTCTCCAAACCCATTATTTCCTATTAAATCCAGCCACTGCCAACCAGAGGATAATTCTAAAACATAACCACCAACCCCCGAGGTTGGACAGAGATTACTGTATAATGTACTGTATGTGCCCCCAACTTTTCAGACAGGGACATATAAAGAATTATACAGAAAATACAGTTAAATGTACAGTATCAATTTATAGAATAATTATAAGATCACAAGATATTCCTTTTTAATTTACAGAAGATATACTGTACTGTACAGTATACTTGCATTATTACTCTAATATTCACAGTTAAATTCCAAAAACAACAATAATTTACCTGATAGATTGCTCCTGTTATGCCAAGCACAGATGCCACAATGGACACAGCATTATATGGCACTGACTGAAAATCTGCGAGGAAATCTTTGCTGAAAGCGTTATTGGTGGACACGCAACAAAGTGACTCAATTGTTGGACTGGCCATGGCTGGGAGCCGTACTGGTGTAGCAGTTGTTGTCCAGAAAGGTTACTCAGTTTTCCTGATGGTCAGATGCATCACTTTCCTGTAGATATAAGAGCACCATTATACACTCTACAAAGAAGGAAGATGAATATATGTAACAGTATGACAAAGTATTATGATCAATTCTACCTCTTGTTTAACAACACCCAACAACCTCACTCCCACACCACACTACTGGCTCACTCAGACTCCAGCCATGCTGGTAAGACCTGAATCACTGTCTCCGGCACATGACCTGCATGAGCATGACTTGTACATGTATAAGCCTCTTACCAACAAAGCCACCTGCTAAACATGATTTCCTGATTCATTATACTCTTAAGTCTTCATACGCTTAGTAACAACATTTTTTATACGTAATTACACTACAGTACTAAGTACTGATATGCCTATAATTAAATATTTATTTTATATACTGTACTGTATTATAAGAATAAGTAATTATGGCAGTCACCTCACACCACACTGAAAACAGTATGAGGTGAAGACATAGTCCCTTTCTTCCTTCGTAAATTATTTAGCTATTCAATTAAAATAACAAGAAAAACCCTTTATCATTCTGACAATATTTCATTCTTGAATGGACATATGGTAACTTCTGAGTGTTATATTCAATCAGTGTAAAATTTGGGAAAGCACGTTTTCATCTTAACAAACATACAAAACAATTTTCACACTTCTACAACACACGTATTAGCATCAACAGAGAAGTCATACAAAAAATTTCTAAAAGACACATACACACTAACATGACTGCTCTACACCCTCCCCAAATCATCGTCATAGGATAAAATGTAGATATTGATATCATCTCTAATGCCCCTGTTGAATGTGTATTTATCCTTGGGAGGAAAATAATGATGCCCCATTGATGCTAAACATCAGTACTGTATGTTGATGTTTCTTTAGTGTAATGAACACTTCTCATGTTTATAAAACTGTAGCTAGAAAAATAATGTAAATCACTTGTGATTTTTTATATCTTTTATCATCAGAGAGGACTAAAAAATCAACTTGCCATGTCTGTCAGCTTTGTCGTACCATTATGTCTTGGCATTAATTATCTCCTTATTTTTAATACAAAAATACAATATAACCGTAGTACAGTATTTTAGGTTAGGGCAGGTAATTTAGTTTCATTTTATGAAAGACAACTCAATGACTGTTCCTCTTGGCAACTTATGACAACTGTAACATTCATAAAGTATCAGACAAAGCCACACTGTATAATTAATGGTACATAAAGTAAACTTAACTCACTAACTTACCTAACCTTACCTTACCTAACCTAACCTAACCTAACCTAACCTAACCTAACCTAACCTAACCTAACCTAACCTAACCTAACCTAACCTAACCTAACCAAAATATGTTTACAAGATTTTTTTTTCTTCAAATCTGCTGTATATTGTACACATGATGAACGAGAAGACAATATGGTGTTGGATGTCAGTTGGTAAAGCTGCCCTTGTCCATTATATAATTGAAGCTGCAGTTGGGTACATTTGGATAATTCCTCGCTCCGTCGGTACATGCACGCGATCTATTAACTCAGATTAAAGTAAGTTTTCCAATTTTTTTGTGACTTTCTGACACCAAACACTCGTCGAGAAGTGATTAGCAGTCCGATTTATTCATGTAGGACCATTATTTGACTTCATTCCGGCTATAATTGGGTACATTTGGGTAATTAGTCGGACCGCATTTTTAGGCCTTTTCACAGGGCAGGAAGGCATTTACCTTCCATGGTGAAATGTCATTAAGTTACTGGTTGAGGCGTACATCAAGTGTAAAAAAACACAGTTATTCTTTCTGCTAGGCGATGGAAAATTCATTAAGATACACTGAAGCACTAACATCACCGCACTAAATACTGTAACATAAATATTCACTACAACTCAATTTCTCTTTTCTGTAACGAAGACCTGCAGCATATATAACACTGTTGCCTTTTACCATTTTGAACCATGACCACTCACCTACAAAAACAGTAATTTCTTCGTATATAATATCGTACTTCACCAACACTCAATATGAGCTGTCAACTTGGTGCCCAGATGACACCTTGACGCAACGAGGATTTACTATTGTTTACATCACGTGTCCTTCACAGTGTTGCCAACTCTGCCAACACCCTCCGCTAATTCAATATTCCTTGCGTTAATTGTAAGACAACATTGGGTGTTTTTAATACTTATACTGTATTATTACTGCACTTCGACAACAAAGGTCTTTAAGCGCGTAACTATATCATTAATTACACTAGTTCATCAATAATTAAAAAAAATTATAAGAAATGGAACTCTGATTTTTCTTTTCTCAAACTAATAATGTATGAACCAACAGCCAAGCTTATAATAACATACAGTATGTGCTATAATGATTTTGTTAAAGGCTTATTATCCAGGAAAATAGAGAAATTACTGTTTAATATTGATATGCACCACAAAAACATGTTATTTTTCTTATGCTAAGCTAGTATACATATTATTTATTGAGGGCAGATATTAATTACGTGGTATAATGTTATTCCTCTTAGATCCTAGAAGCTGATGACCAAATAAATTTAAACCCCCAAAGATTGTAGATGTAAATAAGGGTTTCTACACTCGCTAACTAATGAGTGTCAGTTGTTTTCTTTACCTTCAGTATGTTTATAAATATTCCAGAAGAAAGTGAAAGTAATTTATCAATAACACCATCTTAAAGTTAATAAGGAAAATTAATACTCCTATTTTGTTTCAATGCTAACGAAGTTTTGTTACCCTCTATGATCAAACATAAGCCATGATGATGTTATCACTGACAAAATATGAAACATGAACCAATTATTGACATCCTGCCACTTGTAATTTGCTAAGTATAGCAAATAGTGCTCATATGCTACTACCCAACGTCTAGAGATATCTCTAAAGCTTGGCATTAGCTTCGGTGGGCTGAAAGATAATTTGTCATTATAAATAAATGCTTAAGAAACTATGTCCTAAGAAACACGAAAATCGAAGTAGATGTTTATATTGTTTAATAACTATATATGAAAAGTGGCCTGCTGCAATTTTTGTATTTTACATTCGAGTGCTGTTTTACTGTAATTATTTTAAAAAGTTACTTTGCCACTGAAAATGTGTAAGAAAGAAGCATGAAAGACAATGACATAAAAATATCACAATGGCGAAAACTCAAAACATAGTTCCATAATGTTGGCAACGGTGACACCGGTGGCAGACGACGTCCACTAATCATCGTGACGAGATTATCTTTCACTGAACTTATGTGTCCATGTTTAACCATGTCCAACGCTCATATCGAAGCCTTTATATGTTAAAGGATGGATGAAGTGACTAAAGTAAATGCGTGACTCTCTGTGGCTGCTATGTTGTGATTCAGGTGTGTTTACTATCCATGCTGGGATGATGCAATATTGCCCACTGTTGGTTTTTACTATTTTAACTCATTAAGTCTTTTTGGCTTTAAGGATATGACACAGTAGTGAACATGTTTTCTTTGACGGTAATGTGATTTTAGGGAACGAGGAATAAGATCTTGTGTTTTTTTTCTGTGATCTGAGAAGACCGAGCTAACGAACTGATCTGGCGAGGAGGATAAAAGGCTACCGGCGTCTGCTCTCCCGGCAAAACAAGGTAGGTTAGTGTTAAATTGTTGACTAATTACAATAGTTTAGGCTCAGTATACATGAATTATTCTTCCGTGTGATAGTTGTAGGGGGCAGGTTGGCTTTGATATGTATATCTGGTGATATGAAGCCACGGCTGCCTTTTTAAATTGAAAAGCTGTATATGGTGAGATATGGACACATCTCACTCATCAGTCATCACAAGACTAGTTTTCGTTTTATCCTCTTCGCCACTGATCGGCTTGTTAGCCGCTTGGGCGATCTGTCACTTCTCTGATTACTCGGTAATGACATGAATGCTAAGTTAACCGTATTAAATATATTCTTGTTCAACAAAATGATTTCAGCCTGCCATGAGTGGTCGTGAGTGACGCGGTTGCTAAGGAAGTGACGTCATGCTGACTGTTAGTGTTCTCCGATTATGTAATGAAGGCCTAAATTGGGTTGAAGCAAAAAAACATTATTTAAATTATCTATGGCTCTGAGGATGGTGGGTGCCAGAGCTGGCTTGGATGCAGTTTCTTTGCTTTATCCTCTCCGTCGATGACTGGCACTCTATCCGGTCGAGCAGTCGGTCAATTCTGTTACGCACTATTGGCAAGAACTAGGAATGCAATAGCTCCATATCTAGAATGTACCCGCTAGTGTTGGTCAAGAGTTAGAAGAGTTCAAAATTGGCGCCGTCACCCCAGGTCATTTTTCAGTCTTTCATGAAGTACGCTATGTATGCCTTGGCAAAGTCAAGGAATATTGTCAATATTGCTACCGAGCTCCTGGTTGTTCACACAACCAGCGCCTTAGATAAGCTGTTTCTTGAAGATTAAATAAACAACCTGCAACTGATATATGAAACCACGGGGACGCATATTAACCAATGAAGATTTTTTATATTATTAGGAGCTAAAAAGTGGCCGATTAGAAATAAGTATAAAGACGGCTAGTCAGTTCCTTTGCCTATTTCACGATTATAACATCCAGGAAATACGTGTTTAAATTTACCGTCTCCTTTTATTAAGCAAGAAAGAGTCAGTTGAATGAAGATAAACATTCTCAGACAGGTGAAGGTCACGTCTTACCTCCAAAGATGAAGAACTATCTTCATTATCAGTATGGTACGGGAAGGTAGTGCAATGAAAATACAAAAGCTGTTCGTCGAATAAGTTGACAAGTAGGGTAGAGGATGAAACAAAACAAAAGGCGTTGTTGGGGGGCGGGAGAAGCTGGGCCAGCTAGGAATACCTTTTACACAAAAGTCGGACGTGACAAGAGAACTACCTGCAGCGTTAAAGCTCGAGAACCGGAGAAGGGAGCGTGAGGCATGGACGGGCAGGCAGACTAAGCTTAGTCGTTGCTTACTATTATAATTTTAATAAATGTTTTGGTACCTTGACTATAGTTCACACGATATAATCTGATTTGTCAATACTGTATTGTGAAAGAACTAAGAACAGGACAACTGAAGACTTAATAGCAAGACTTACCATTGTTTATCTATACACTGAGTAGTTTTGAAAGGGGGACGACTTTAACCAAACTTAAGTTTAAACTGAGGTGATTTTGGTATGGTTAGATCTGGCTCAGGTGAACAATTAAGACGGGTTCATCCTCTAATCCCCTCCCCAGAAATCAGTGGAATATATTTTTGTATAAACTGGTAAGATAAACGTGTAAATTAGTAAGTCGAAGGCTCGAGATATGTGCCTAAAAAAAAACAATAACAACCAGAGACGACTACCTGTAGACACACACGGGGCAGATCAAGAAATTCACAATCGCTGTGGAGGGCGTGGGGTGGGTGCTCTCATATCATTGTAAGTAAAGCCAACCACTTGCCCGCCCACTTGTGATCCTGTCAACACGCAGGCTTGAATCCCTCGTCCAGGATGAACCAGTAATAAGTAACGTACGCAAGGATTATAGATACTGCGTTACATGATGCCTTCACTGGTAAGCCTTCACATACCCCTATATGTAAACTGCCCTACAACAGTCACTGGAGGCCCGTTTTACCGTGTTATTTCCATTTGGCCAACCTTCATATGTACAACCCCTGGGCTTTGTTATAGGCCTATGTGCAATTCCCACTGTTCACACAAAGCTCAGGGCCGGACCCAGGAATATCAAAAGGGGGGTCCAAGAAGTTGTGGGTGGGGGGAACATGGCGAGCCCTTCAGCTAGGGGTCTTTGAGGGGTGCTGTAAGCCCCCCAGAATTTTTTGGGGAAATCTGACCAATATCATGGGCATTTTGAAGCCATGTGCACTTGATATTAGGAGATATTCTGAAGTCAAAAGTAATTACTTTTTACCTTACAAAAACACCTGAGTACAATACTGCATTAAATAAAAAGTATTGGAATTTTCTGGCAAAAGGGGGGGTCCGGACCCCAAGCACCCCCACTGGATCCGCCCTTGCATAGCCGTTCTTTAGGTTTGAAGTTGTTTGGTGATGTGTCGTGGAGTGTGCCTAAATCCACAATAGGGATGGGTTAAGGTAAATGAGCTTGACAGTTGTGCGTGAGCTGACGCCAGTGTCGCTATCATAGCCGGGGCACAGGGCTTGCATCATCACGTCTTCGAATCAGCTCTTGTAAACTTTGCAAGAGGAGTGCTGGGTTGTCACAGCCGTAAGCCCCTTTATAATATTTATACTGTATATACTTGTCATTGTACAGGGGTACCTAGTGACAGCACTAGGATCCCGCTTCCTCTATCAAGGAATAAACAATTGAAATTGTCGCAGCCGGCTCAGTGTATTATCACTACTGTGGTCGTGTGGTGAAACTCGACTGGGTTCGGTGAGAACTGGTGTTTTGTATTGAGTTTTAATGCTCTGTAAGAGTCTTTACACACTGGCGTCTGACGTCATGTAGTGAAGGTCATATACCGTGGTGAGGTTTAACTTGAGCCACTGTGGTAAGGTCCGGCACACTACAAACAGGTAAGGGTCGATTTACTGTGGTGAGGTGTAATGTAATGCTGTACCACGTGGGGATGTGGGATCTATTTTAGCTGACAGACCTTCACGTGAGGGCCTGGGATGTATCTCACATATCACAAGTATATTTTGTGACATTAATGGGTCGTGCTTGAAGTGTAATGAGGGCGGGAGATTGCCCAGGTCCCTCCCCTCCGGCCGGGGATGAGTGCTAGGTATGTGGGGGATGAGGCAAGGCCCGGGATGTGATACAGTTTTATTATACAGTATCTCAACTTAAGTGACAAATACAATAAGATGCCGTTCTTGGTAAACAGAAAGCTACAGTATAGTGCACCTGTAAGAGTCACACAGGAATTAAGTTTTATACCATCTATATTGTACATTAGTTTAAGTACAAATCAGTCAAGACCAGGTTGAAGGTAAGGAGACACGTTAGGGGGTGGGGAGTTGGGTGATGTGTGCCAGACGTGTGGTGGTATATTTCCCTCTCACGTTTTATCCCAACACAGTAGATGTTTTAAGAATCATTCCCTAAGAGTATACCTCTGAAGTCGATGATACGCATGCACATAAATATACATATTTGAAACATATACACGAACGCCAAGACATGAACATACACGAGCCATACACATACACCTGTAACCTACTTAAAGTCTCTGATTAAACAAAAAGTTGGTGTTAGAGAAGTGATCTTGTTAAACTCAAAGTTTACTTACTACCCTTGTCGCACCCTCACTAACACATCTCGATTACCCTTGTGTATAAATTGACTGGCGGGTGAGGAGCAAGAGTGTCTGTGTGTGTGTGTGTGTGACAAACACTTAAATAAGCCCCTCCTGACCTCTGGTGGCTGGGACAGTATTGCTGAAGTGTATCTTTATAAAATTTTGCCTATCATGTTTAATCTCATCCTCCTGTGTGTTGTGGTCTTATAATTCGGCTACATAGTTTGTCTTCAAATAAAATTCGTATCTATTTAAGACACTATTTTATTTTACACCTGAAAATCACTGGATGTGTAGTATATACTTGTACTTAAATCCGTTTTGTGTTTTCGAGTAACATTTCTGAATTCGAATGCTTCCCGCGACCTGTTTTGTAGCCTTCATATACTGTACTTCTACAGTGCTTGTACTGTACAATTAAAAGAATGCAGTCAACGTCGATTGTGAAGTTCAAAATAATAATAAAAGCTAGACAAGGTGTGTTGGTGACAGGTGTGCTTGCCTCTTACCAACGTGACTCGGACCCACCAAGATCGGTTGTAAGGCAAATTTTCTCTAGATATTCATATATCCCAAGACCCATGGGGAATATGGCCCTCATTGAACCTTTAGGGACACCAGTCATGCCAGATAGAACTAACCATGGTAAATTATTCAATCCAGATAAAACAGATTACTGAGAAACACAACTAACGTATATAAATGTATCGGGTTACTAAAAGTGAAGGGGTGTAGCAACGTGACTCTTCTCACTCTTATACATTCACTGGCTTGACCTAAGAAGAGTGTTACCTAAGCGACCACTTAACCAGGCGGTACATATACTGTACACGGCACTACCTTTTGAGTTTCCTGGCAGAGATGAAGTTACGTCCGGTATTGAGTGAGAGAGATTGTGGTTGGGAGAGATGCCTAGCGAGTCGTTCCTCAACTGACAAATTTATTTCTTAGTGCGTTAAGGATAATTATTTTTAACACTGTAGAAGAACTATTGCTTGAGTGAAGGACGAGTCACTACATCTTCCTCAGTTAACCCATAGTGTTGGGTCTTAACGTAAGCATCAACATAGGTCAACAGAATTAATTGAAAGATATGTGGTAATTTTTATGGTCTTCACAATGATATGATCAGACTTTATTCCTACTTAATTTTAGGTTCTTGTTTATTGCACGTCCTAAAATATAGTACAGGTAGTGTAATCATTTAGGGTTCACGAATAATAATAATAATAATAATAATAATAATAATGATAATAATAATAATAATAATAATAATAATAATAATAATAATAATAATAATAATAATAATAGTAGTAGTAATAGAAAAAGGCCAATTTTCACTCA